GGGATCATGACCTGAGCCGAAAGCAGACACTTAACGACTGAGCCACCCAGGCGCCCCTAAAAGATTTATTTTTAAGCAATCACTACACCCGATGTGGGGCTTGAATTTACAACCCCGAGATCAAGCGTGGCATGCTCTATTGACTGAGCCAGCCAAGAGCCCCTTATATATAATCTTAAATAAATTCATGTCATTTATAACTTACTTTATATAAATACATATGTGTATATAAATATAGAATGTTTGTTATGCATGGATACATAATTTCTATGTGCACAGAACATATATGGAAAAACATAGATCAATCCTCTAAAAGGAAATAGGTGGCAAGGGGAAAGTTTTTCACTTTATTCAGTTCTGGTTTTTTGTTTTGTTTGCTTCTGTTTTTCAAAAGCAATGCATATTTCGGATGAGTTCATGTATATATAAGCCTTTGTGATTTTTTTCTTTAAATCGTTCTGCATTTCTAAACACTTTTTATTGGTATAAACCCAACACATCAACCCTTTATTAGATTATATCTCAATTCCAAAATAGGATCCTTCCATAAACAGAAATCCTAAAACACATTTCTAATGAAAACTCAGAAAGGAACAGGTCTCTTTACTTACCTTCATCACTACAGTTCCTCTAATGACATGACCCATTGTACCAAAGTCAAAGTCATCTTTCACTTCAAAATAAAAATTATCTTTGTCAGGGCTGATGGCCTTCAGGAGCTTGGTGATGTTGTTGGAATATAAGGTGCTGGCCTGCGTGGCCATTCGGCTGGGAAGGTCTGTGTAGCCTATGTGAGTAACTCCCTACATGAACAAAAATACAATCAGAAAGGTCTAATTCTATCTGTTCACATTCCTTCTAGGACACTCCTCAGTCATAGTCAAGGCTAAGCTGTGAAATTACATACCTTTATAAATATATACACATCTCACAAACAAATACAGATTTCAAAAAGAGCTTTCGATGTGCCTGTTTTTAATTTTAAAAATTTTCAGGCCTCAGTTTCTCTGAATACCTTAAAGGAATAAACACTTCCTTCAAATCACTAAAGACATGGGAGATGGTTCGTAGATAGAAGAAGCTGTTTGGTATACCTTATGGACATAAAGTTCTCCCGGCTTAGTGGTTTCAAAGTTTCCGCCAGCCTCAGCAGCTAAATCCACAACAACTGAGCCTTCCTTCATTGACTCAATCATCTCTTTACTAAATAAAACTGGAGCTTTTTTACCTGATAAAATCAAAGAGAACAGTACAAATTATATTATACTTTTTAACTTTATTTCCTAATTATTACAGTAGTCTCTGGACACTCAAAATTGTAACATCTGAAATATTAACTCTTTCAAGATACCCCGAAAGTCCATCATGCAGTTGAAACTGGTCATCCTCCCAGGAAGAAATATGGTAAGTATGAACTGCAAAGCCAATATGCAGAGGGATCTTGCTGTTCGCTTACTTAGTACTGCTCTTCCAAACTGGTTTACATCCAGGACCACTCATGAAGACATAAACATTTTGCCTGTTTCTTTTTGAATGCATAATAGTAAGCTATTAAGAAAACTATGTGCACCTGAATTGGACAATTCATAAAGATCACAAATGCATGGGAATAGTCAATAGTAATTTATGAATTACAAAATGGAATATTTCCAAACATCTTAACAAACTTCACCAGATTTTCCATATTAATCTACCTTCATTTATCACAGGATAACTTCAAGGAGAGAAAGGGAAATGCCACGAAATGAAAACAAGAGGAAATCCCAGTTTGGGACTGGGATTGGGAATCATGCATACACTTTTATTCCCCCCTCAACACTGTTTATTCTGCCTCTGATGAGTCAAGTCCTATACCTGGTGCTCAGAATATACTGGTAGATAAACAGAAAAGATCCCTGTTCTTATGGAACACTCTAGTCATGTGATAGTTGAGATAGTTCCCATTTTAAATTCATTCACTAATTCTTACATAAGATAAAGCACCAAACATAAGGATTTTTCAAGCTAACCTATATTAGTTAGTTTAACAGGGCCCACATTGTCAGAATATCACCGTGTTCAAGTTTCATAGAACAATATATACCTAAGCCAAAAGACAAAGGAAATAAACTTGTGAGATTGGTAGTAGGAAAGCAGAGAGTTAATAGCCTAAGTATCTTTATCTCCTCTTTTAGAAAGTTTTCAACTCTGTCTTTACAGAATGTTAGTAAAAACACTATCGACTTTATAAAGGGAAATTAATATAAAATAAAATTTGCATTCTAATAATCTGTTTTTCAATCTACTTGATTGGAATACATGTGATTCAAAAGAGAAAAATGAAGATTTGTAGCACATATGGGGAAAAAAAAAGTTGTAAAGATACAAATGGGTATTTATATAGTACCTCCCTTTTTCTCGAAGCCAACTTTATACTTCCGAGATAAAGTCCAAATCCCACGGCCTCCTATTACTGAAGGCCTTCCTGACTGGGTATAAGCACTCTTTCTCCCATTCTCTCTCATTACTACCCCCACTGGACCTTCTGCTCCCACCACGCAGGGCTAACTGCCACGTGGTTTGTTGGATAATCTTTGGAGTCTCCATGAAAGAGCAAGAATGAGGAGATATTTTCCCCCAAAGACAACACTCTGAAGTCCTGGTGGTTTCATCACTTCTCAAAATTCTCTGGAAATATTCCTTTCCTCTACTCTCCCCACTACAGTCCAACAAAACCATCTTGAATGTTTAAATTTTACTCAAACATGAGAATTTGGGGATGCAAACAACATACATCTGAGGACTCTCGCCCCCCCAAAAAAGGTCACGCTGCTGAGCTCTGCAGTAATTTACAGCTATGGATCATATGGTCGCAGCCACGTAAACTGGCAAATTTAAAGTGCTAATGTGTACTTTCTAGGTGGTTATGATCATCCCCCTTCCTCTTCTCTAGTCCACAGCCTCTTTTCCATTAACCAGCCTCTTCTCCATTAACCAGCCTCTTGCTTGCTACAGCTTTTCCTCACACCTTACTTGTTCTCTCCAGTCCCAGGCTGATATGCCTTAAACTGCATTCTGGATCCGGGTCCACCCCCTTTGACTTCTAACTGCACCAACTTTACCGCCATCAACTTCACAAATTTGATTTAGCTTCTAACTAATTCCTCCTGCCCTAAAAGTTCTGGATTCCTTCTTTCTTCTGACCCAGTGAGAGCTAAAGGATCAGTTCCTGGACTATAACCCCACTGACTTTACAAGACCTCCTGTGGCCAAAACCATTTAAGCTCCCTAGAAAACACCAGATATACTACCGATTTGTCTTTGATTTTACTCACTCGACCTTCGCAAAACAATTATGCGATAGCTGACACAACTTTAAATGCACAGACCACACACACACATAAACACACTTGCATCTTAACAAAGATAATATGTGTTCTGTCCATACTGTCTGTCTGAAATTTAATCACTTTTGAAAGGGTAGGCTATTCTTTCACACAAAGTAATTTATCTAGTCAAGTAACTAGAGGGGGAGTTAAAATTTATTTAAGGAGGGATATTTAGAATACATGAAACTATTATAAGTAAAATGCACACAATGACATAGTATGTACAGACTGCTGCCATAAGGTAAATAAAAATTTTATATACACATATATGAATGTTTCATATATATTTATATACATACATAAAATACTATACTATATAGTTTCTAGTAAATTCTACATTGTGTAATGTTTAGCCATAGCAGGATATCTTTGAGTGGTAAGAATATTTTCTTCTTTGTGCTTTTCTTTATCTCCTAAATTTTCTATAAGAGCTAGTTTTAATTTTATAATTTAAAAAAATCAATAAAGGCTACAGGGAATATGATAATGAATATAACAGTGCAGCTGGCTTTAAGCATTCACATGTGGATTAATTCTTTGAAAATTCTAAAAGTGCAGAAACGATAATTGAAAACAGAAGGGAAAAAATAGAGCCAAAAGAGGAGCAGGGTAGTACATAAAAGTTCCAAATGAGCAAATCCTCAAAAGAATAGTTCAAGAGGAGGAAAGACTAAGAAGGCAATTTCAAAATACTATCTTACCCTGATGGCCTACTAGGGTAAAAATGTAATATGTGATAAATGTGGCATCACAAAATGGAAGGAACAAAAGGAATAAGATGATCAGTTAGGTATCGGGGGGAAAAAATCTACCCAAACCTAATATCAGACTTCAAACTAAACTCTAAATTCTATAGATCAGAATGAATTATAAAAGAGAATCAGCCTTCGGGACACCTGGCTGGCTCAATCGGAAGAGCATGCAACTCTTGATCTTGGGGTCATGAGCTCAAGCTCCACGTAGAGATTACTTAAAATAAATAAAATTTTTAAAAAGAGGGAGAGAATCAACCCATAAAGAAAAAGAAAAAAGGAAAACCTTGGTGAATATCTCTCTAGTCTTTGAATTAAAAAGTATTTCTTAAATTTAAAGCAATGGGGAAAATGAGAAAAACATCAATGGATTTAAATATGAAATACGTATATATTATAGTCCTCAAAAATCAACATGACAAAAAATTAATAAAAAGCCCACAAAAATTTAAATAAAGACAAAACACTAAGATCCTAACACATGAAAAACAAATACAAATGGTTAATTCTAAAAGAAATGGTAACAACCAAATTAAAAAAAAAAAGTTCATCCTCATATGAATCAAAGTTACAAGAAGTGAGATACTTTTTTTTGTCTCTCAAAATGAAAGGTCAAAAAATCATAATAATGGGGGCATCCGGCTGGCTCACTCAGTAGAGCATAGGACTCATGATCTTGGGGTTATAAATTCAAGCCCCACATTGGATGTAGAAATGACCTAAAGGGGCGCCTGGGTGGCTCAGTTGGTTAAGCGACTGCCTTCGGCTCAGGTCATGATCCTGGAGTCCCGGGATCGAGTCCCGCATCGGGCTCGCTGCTCAGCGGGGAGCCTGCTTCTCTCTGACCCTCCCCCCTCTCATGTGCTCTCTCTCTCTCATTCTCTCTGTCTCAAATAAATAAAATCTTAAAAAAAAAAAAAATGACCTAAAAATAAAATATTTTAAAAATCATAATAATGTTGAAATGAAACAATTAGCTGGATGATCTATTAATGAGATTATGAACTATGCAGAAGTTTCAGGAAAGCAGAATTTACCAACATGTAGCAACTGGCCAAAAATGTTGATATCCACTTGCCCAGTAATTCTACTTCTAAGAATTGATTAATCCTGGGGAAATAAACGAAGACACACACACTGGAATAACACAGAAAAAAGGTTAGAGCATTATTTTTAATTGACAAAAAGCGGAATTAAGTGAAAAGCCCAACTTTGGGGGAACCATTAAATAAAATGTGGTACATTAAAACAAGAAAATTCTACAAAACCATTAAAACATATATACAAAGATTTCTTAAAGACTCATCATGTTACATGAAGGAGAAAACTTATGATATAGTATTAAATGGGAAAAATGAGAAGGATATTATATCTTGATCCAACATGATAAAAATGCATTGAAAGGGGCGCCTGGGTGGCTCAGTCGTTAAGCGTCTGCCTTCGGCTCAGGTCATGATCCCAGGGTCCTGGGATCGAGCCCCGCATCAGGCTCCCTGCTCTGCGGGAAGCCTGCTTCTCCCTCTCCCACTCCCCCTGCTTCTGTTCCCTCTCTCGCTGTGTCTCTCTCTGTCAAAATAAATAAATAAAAAATCTTTAAAAAAAAAAAAATGCATTGAAAAAGGCTAAAATGTTAATAGTATTTTTCACTGAGTAGAGAGATCACAGATGATCTTTATTTTCTAATTTGTACTTTACTGCATTTCCAAAAGTCACATACTATTTTTATAAAAATAATAATAATAATAAAGTACTCCTGCATAATCACACCAGTTTCTTCTCTAGGTTGAAGACATAAATTAAGAGTTGTACTAGAAGAGGGGCACCTGGGTGGCTCAGCCAGTTAAAGCATCTGACTCTTTTTTTTAAAAAAAAGATTTTATTGATTTAGTTAGAGGGAGAGAGAGACAGAATGAGAGGGGAGAGGGTCAGAGGGAGAAGTAGCCTCCCCACTGAGCAGGGAATCTGACGTGGGACTCCATCCCAGGACTCTGGGATCGTGACCTGAGCCTAAGGCAGTCGCTTAACCAACTGAACCACCCAAGCGCCCTAAAGCATCTGACTCTTGGTTTCAGCTCAGGTCATGATCTCAGGGTTGTGGGATGGAGCCC